CACTGACCCCTGCTGGCCTGCTTGCCCCCAACTGCCCCCCTGTTGGCCTGCTTACTCCAAACTATCTCCCCCCCCCCACCTGCCAGGCCTGATCACCCACAATTGCCCTCCCCTCTTGGCCTCTAAACTCCTCTACCTTGGCCCCACCACCATGGCTTGTCCAGAAGAATGTCCGGAAGGTCTTTTTGGAAAGTCTTCTAGTCTAATTAGCATATTACCCATTTTATTAGTATAGAGGCGTGGTGCATGGGTGGGGGCAGGATGTTTTGTCCTGAAGGGTGTACTGGATCAGGATGGGAGTTCCTTTGGGGCGTGGGGCAGCCTGGGTAAGGGGGCTGTGGAGGTTTGCAGGCTGGCCATGCCTCCATGGGGTGAGGGTCCTTGGGGGTCGTGGCCAGCCTGGGTGAGGGGCTGAGGGCTGTTTTTAGGTTAGCCATACTCCCTTCAGTGTGGGGGTCCCCACTGGGGTGCCTGGCCAGCCTGGGTAAGGGGCTGAGGGCCATTTTCAGGCTGGCCACGCTCCCCGACAACTCACGCTCCCAGCCCCTCTTTTTATTTATTCATTTTTCCTCCAGCCACTTCTTGAGCAGCCAAGGCAGGAAGGAAGCTTGGCTTCCTCCATCACCAGGGGCAACCAAGCCTCCTGCTTGCTCCAGCTCCATGGTCACTGCCATCTTTGTTGGGTTAATTTGCATACTTGCTCCTAATTGGCTGGTGGGCATAGCAGAAAAATGGTCAATTTGCATGTTTCTCTTTTATTAGTGTAGAGATAGATAGATTTATATGTAGATGCAGACTCATATTCCCTAATCTTTAATATCTATAGTGAATCTATAATACAAAAAATCTGTAATATATCAAGTGAATAACTCCTTTGTCTGTGACAAAATTGCAGAGGCTGCAAAAACACATGACTGTCAGACCCAATGTCACAGCCCAGTGGGTGATATTTTTTTAATGGAGCTCTCATTAGATGACATAGCAAGCCCCAGAGCCACCAGACTGGCAATGTCCACAGAACACAGCCGACTCACAGGATGAAGCTGTTCAGAAACCTCCCATCATTTTTCTATTTGAAGGTCCTGGTTTGAGTGTGAGGTTCCAATAGTTGAGTGAGAACATAAAGCAGTTTGAATCTAACACCATCTGGAAAGCCTTAGGAGATTCACATTATCTTCGCACCTGCCACTGAGAAGAAAAACCAACGCTGATTTCAGAAGGGACTGAAGCCAGTCAGGTCTGCTGGAATGACTCCCCAGCAGAGCACAGCCCCTCCCAGCTATAGCTCTTCCCTCATTACATTTTCCTTTAAAGAGAATGATTAAACGCCAACCATAAAAGTACCAAATGGAGCTGCCCCTGTGCATTCTGCCCCTGAGTTGCTGAGAAAGTGTCTTATACACACAACAGCACAGTGCACACACTCACGGAGGGTACAACGACTCTGTTCCTAGTAGCAGAGACAAGAGCCAGGCCTTTAACAGTAATGCATGTGTGTCATCCCCAGGAATCAGCAAAGAAAGCACAAGGTTTCCAACTCCTTTCTCCTGTTCAGATTACCAGACTGGGGCCTTGGGACTGACGATATCAAGTTCATTATGCAAAGGCACGTTCTATGTGCCATTGTTCTAGAGGGCATGAAAACAGAATTTCAGGGACTCAGTTCTTGCCCTCTAATGTTAGAATCTGTCCATCCTTTCTCTTGTCCTTGTAATTTGACATTGTCTTAAACAATACATGTTATAAAAGGCTCGGTTGCTGCATGTAATGTTGAACCTATTGGGCTTATTACACAATGAGTAAACTTAAGAAGGAAGGTATTTTATTTATAGCACCACTGTATCACAATTTAATTTCCTCTTTACCATGGCAACAAGGCAGCATGCACCAATTCTGCACTGGTAGAATCTCACCAGTAAAACATATTTAGAATCCTGCTTTGGGGGAGGGGTAGCTGATAAACTAACTAAAAGCAATGCAAACTCTTGACTAAAAATTCCAGTCAGATAGATTATGTGGTCTGCTGAGAAAAGAAGGGGGTGGAGTACATGGCTGGATTCGGCTGGGGGGAGAGTGCTTTGCTGTGTTTTTGAAGACCGAACTGTAAGCCAGGAGTTTCTCAGTGTAATCGGGAGGCCCACCTCTTTGAGTTCATACCCAAAGTACCATGACAGCCACACATGGCATTTTCCTTCTCAGCAGCATCTCCCAAGGCAACCAAGGCTCTTCTGCTCAGCATGGGGTCCCTGTCTGATCACTTTGGGGTTAGAGATTATTGTATTTATAACTATACAGCTGACCCTTGAACAACATGGGTTTGAACTCCACCATCCACTTATGCATGGATATTTTTCAACAAATATTTGCTTTTGATCAGCAGTTGGGAGTCTGGATGTGGAGGGCCAATCATATGCACTGATCCACACCATTTTATATAGGGGGCTTAGCATTCAGCTAGGGGGAGCTGAAACCATCTCCATCCCCCGCTGATACTGAGAGACAACTTCAGTTTTGAGGGAGTTAAAAGTTATACACAGGTTTTCCAAGGGTCAAGAATCAGCGCTACTATCCCCTCACTGCGTTGTTAAGGGTCAACCATCCTTCTTTTTTGTCCTACTCTAATTAAATCTTGAATAGCTTCGAGTCCAGGAAAGAAAACTGCCTGCTGCATAAAGTGACACTAGTGTGCTATCAGGTCCTTGCAGAGCATGTTATCGGAGTGCCAGCTGAATTTTCCTATCTCACAAAGGTTCTGTGAAGCAATATCATATGTGTCTATAATCTATTACATCAACCAGACATACTTTACAGGAGCACTCATTGGCTTAAAATCAGCCAGAATGTCCACCTGAAGTTCCCCCTGAGTAGCATTATATTATGAGGAGTCCTCGATTCCTAATTAGTTTACCCAAATTTTCTAATCCTAAGAATTCCATGTCCTCTGGATCCTGGATTATATGTAACCTTAGTATAGAAGATGCCATTACAAGAAAGCTTAAGAAATAAAGAATGGCTACAATGTTACTCAGAACTTTGGGGTTGATCTGGAAGGTTACCTTACGTGGCTGCTTCAATGACACATCCTTGTTGTTTTATTTCCATCCAGTGAGCAACTTGCCCCATGTTTGATATGGAAGATGCTCCTGTTATATGCAGCCCCAAGGGGCCAACTGAAGTGTGAAGAGATGAGCAAACCCTGTACCCACTATGAGTAGATCCAAATTGGCGTGCTAGGCTTGCACCCCCTTTTTTACTATCAATTAAAACTGTGGTCATTTCTTTCAAGTATAGTTATGTAATTTTTCTGTGGTAGTGCCAAGTGAAAAGCTTAAAGACAAAAGCATCTCTGATTCACCCACACTGAAGAATTTAAAGAAAAACAAAGAGATTGGAATAGAACTATTGAGAAATCAAAATATCAAGTCATTAGCCTTTAATGCTTGTGTTTATAAAACACGTGATAATTTTTCAAAGCTAGATTTTCCATAAGACAGAATATGTTCCTGAACATACAGTACAACTCTGAGGACTGAGGAGGAAAGAAACAGAATCAGATTTTACTGTCATGGAAAGACATGCCAGGGCAGAGGGTCCCATTGGGCTGTCTGGCATCACCTGGACATGATAGAGGTTTAGCCATGTAGCTCATGCTTCTCTAAGTAGGAAAGAATTGTTTTTATGTTAATGAAGTTTAATGGCAATCTTTTAAAAAACATTTGCTTCCCTGCCTCTTTAAACAAAGGAGTAGCTATCATTAATAGAAATGTGCTATAATAGCATGATACCTTCAGGGACTACTGAAATGTGCTGGCTCCTTTAACTCTGGGCCCCAGAGTGATGCTTTTGTGAATCTGATCCACTGTATTTCTATATCCTAAATATCCTATATTTCTATATCCTAAATAATGTTTTCCTCATATTCTAAACAGTTAGTGTTGCTAGAAGTCTGACCACCTTCCAAATGCATTCTGTCCCATCTTGGGAACAGGAGTCTTTACACTAGTCAATAAACACAAATGGGAGTTCTCTTGTTCCACCTCCATCTATATTTCAGTTTATCTTTGTGCTCTCTACCTCACTTCAAAACCAGACTAAGGTGTTTTCACCTCCTCCGTGAGGCTATCCTCAAACATCTATATATATAAAATCCTAATATGCAAATAGACTGAACAGCAGAACAACCAGTTGCTATGGCATGCGCTGACCACCAGGGGTTCACATGGAACATGGTGGGCGTCAGCAGCAGGCAGCAGAGCATAGAACATGGCAGGCATCGGCTACAGCAGTATGGTGAAGCAGATAAACAGGGGCGCCAGACCAAGGTAGGGCACCAATCACTGTCATGGGGAAAGCCTCTAGTGGTTATTGAAAATTTTTTGCTACCAGGCACCATGGTCCCCCCCTGCCAGTGCCAGAGCCACCACTTGCACCTGCTGCTGGCTCCCAGCACTAGTCCTGATCATTTGGCACCATCAGCAGGTGCGAACAGCAGCTGCCACCCAATCACCCCTGAGGTGAGGGCTCCTCCACCTCCCCATGCTCCTGAGGGGCAATCAGCATGCCAGTCCCAATCGCTCTGCATAGTCAGCAGGTGCTAGCAGGGCTGGCCCTGTCAGCACGTGGGAGCAGTGGTGTCAGGAGCAGTGATGGTGGGAGCCGGGCTGTGGGCAGATAGGGGACCAGGTATGGAGGATGGACCAAGTCCCACCCCTGTGCCCATGCAGCCTCGAGGCCCACAGTTCCTTTAAAAGTGCAGGAATTCCTGCACTGGGCCCCTAATTTTAAAATAAAATTCATTGAGAGAAAAACCACATGACTGGCAGAATGCACCATCATCAATGTAAATTCATTACGAAGCTTCCTTTCCAGCCTCCCTTCCGCAGAGCCCGCTACAGGTGCAGCTAGGTGTCTAAGCTGCTTTTTGATCACGAGGCTGTGTCAGCATCAGCCGCAAAGTCGGCAAAAGCTATTTATTCACCTGCCTGTGCTTCCCCTCCCAGGTGGGCAGCATGCTGAAGACTCCCAAATTGCCCATTTGGCTGTGCAACATCAATGGAAGCTACAGTGTCCTTTTTAGCACAAACAGGCAGCTCCTAGCAGACTGGAAAGCGGAGCAGCGGTTTGATCTGCACTGGTACTGTGGGCAGACCTTCCAGAAAAAGCCTGCCCGTCTTACAGTGGGTGAGCATTTCTGACTCCATAGGCCGTGTGCTTTAACGGGCTCAAAGAGACATTTAGCAGCGGTGTGGATATTCATGCTAGGTCTGCAGCGGATGCTTAGGCTTGCTATCTGAAAGGAAACCCTGCATGAGCTCCACGGGCCTAAACCCCGCACTGTAACCTGAGAATTCTAAGCCAGCTATAAATAGAGCAGGGACTTAGAAGCACAGAGGAACAAATAATTTATAGGTTAGAGGAAAAACAAAAGATGGAGTCAAATTTCCAAAAAGCCTTCTCCAGGGCCATTTGTCTTTGAGCATGTGACATTTCATGCCTGAGGAAAGAACCGCTAAAACAATTGGGAGGAGAGGGTTCCCTCTGGCCAATGCTATTCCTGACCCAAGTCAGATGAGCAACCAGTGACATAAGTAACCAATCTGATGGTGCATTTCTGTTCAGATTAGTTCACAAAACCTTTATGAAGGCCTACTAAGTGTCAGGCTGTGCTGAACACCAGGAAAGCACCAAGACTAAGGTACAGTTCAGCAAACATCAGGAGGTTCTAGTCCAATGGGACAAGCAACCACATGGTCATCTCACTGCAATTTCAACCATCCTTTTTTAGCTCATGTGGGAAAAGACTAACCTTAAGATGACTTTAAACACTGACCCTTTGGACAAGAGAATAAAAGTGATGAGAACAGCGTCTGTAGATTTCAATTCTGACTCTTTGTATGGGCAACACCGGCCTGTTATTATTAAGTCTAAATCTGGAAAAGTATCTTAGTGACTGGCTTATCTTTGCAGCTATTGATTCTTTTTCTTTAATTCTTAAAAATATAACCTATTTAATTTAGTGCAGTATGGACAATATGTTCCTTAAAATATATTATCATTTCTACTTTACTGTCTTCTTTGAGGAAAGCAAAAATTTTTTATTAGCTTACATGCATGGAAAGCATTCTGTTGTGGGCACTGAGTTGAAAGCTTTGCATACATCATCCCATCAGATTCTTCCAACAGTCATATGAGGTGGGTACTAGTTTCTATTTTTACATGAAGGAAACGGAGGTGGCCAATAGTTACCAATTGACTAAAGGAAGCTGAGAGATGTTTAGTGCCTTCTCAACTGTTGCATGCAACAAATCTGGGTCTTGAACACAGTTCTTGGTTACCTTACCAGAATACCTTGCTCTTCACCCAAAATTTCACAGAAGCATTGAAGAGGTCATAGCATTCCACTTTACCTGTTTTTGTTTGTTTGTTTGTTTGTTTGTTTGTTTGTTTGTTTAAATAAACTGGATTTTTTTTTCCTGACTACATCCAGTGATCTACACCTTGCTCTAGGTTAAATCATAGTATTGTCACATTCATTAAATGACTTATCAATATTCATGTTCCAAAATACAAAACAACCCAATTTTTCTACATACCATCTCCCTCTGCTTATGGTTCTAGGAACACATGCTGCCCACCCCCCTGTTTGCTTTCCTTCCTGGATTCCTCTGGAACAGTGTGCATAGGTTGGGGTCTAAGTGTCAGCTGTTTCTCCCCCAGATACTCACTCCCATCACTGGGAAAGAGACCAGTGTGAGGAGGAACATGGACCAGGAAGACGGTGTTCTCCAGTGGAGATGGCAATCAGAACTAAGTGGAGAGAAGCCACCATTAACTGGAATGGAACTGTTCCCTTTTTCTAAAGAGAAAGCCAGGATGTGCAATGAAGTGTCAGAATGACGGGATACAAGATTAATTTGGAGGAAGATCATTTCACATCTACATTGCCCATAGAAAAACCCCATTATAATTTGGGGCACTGTGTGTTAAGCCCTCTGCAGTTGTAGGAGAAACATGGGCCCTTACTGCAGGGTCTGGGAGCTGCATCCTCTATATACATGTAGACTACTTATTTTATTTTATTTTATTTTATTCAAAATAGAAAATAAAGTCTCTTTCCTGCGTGCTATTTCCAATTGTCCTTTCTTGGTGTGATTCTGCCCGAGGCTGACCGAGTGGGAGGCTAGCTTTCACTTGGGATGAAGTCATTGGTAATGCATCAAACTTTTAGTTCTGGCAAGAACTCAAGTTTCCCAAAGACCCCCTGGTGTGGAGAGCATGCCTTTCCAAGGTTACATTTCATGTGCCCACATTAGCAAGTTCTTGTCATTAAAATGATAAATGGGCTTCATCAGGCTTGATGTGGGTGCTATTCCTGGTGGGCTGGCATCCATAGCAGTGAACTTGTGGATTCAAACAATCATGGCAAGCACACAGAAGGAGACAACCTTTCAGTGCTGTTTGTTTATTTTTTTTATAAGCTGTTAATAGATACATAGACAGACAAACAGAAAGAAGTCTGGTTCCTAGATAAAATTAAATTATATATAAAAATAAAATCTCTCCTTATGTCATTTCTTGTCTCTGTTAAGCCCTCTGCAGTTGCTTTCAGTGTTTAGAGGAAACAATTCTTTTGAGAATCTGATCCTTCCCTGTCTGTTGAATGCCTACATTTTTCCTGAAGAAATACACCGAGTAAGACATATTCCCTTAGAAAAGGGAGCACATAGGAACTGCCTACATCTTTTCCTACCCACCCCCCAGTCTGCCAACTCACACACAAGCCAAAGGTTAGTTTGTAAAGAACAACGTTCTGCACATATTTTCCAAGGTAATTTGTTAATGCATTTTCTTTGGTTAAAAGAAAAATGTTTTAACTTAGGGAGCATGCAGAAAATGAAACTTCAAGGCAAGTAATAAATTACATCAAAAGAGAAAGCCAATTTGGCATGGGTTGCTGATTACAACATCTGTATCATGGATATTTTCATTCAGGATTTTAACTACATTGGGCAAACAGATGAATCCCTGCAGACCCTGTGTCTCATTGTGTTTTCTCTGTGCAGCCTGTTTTTGTTTTAGGGACACGGAGTTATCTCTAGCAAAATGTCCCTTTGGAGTGGACTGCTGGAAAGCTATTGCCAAAAGAATCCTAGCAAGAGCCCAGCCACAAAAACGAGATCTCACTACAAGCGTCTCACACAACCAGGGCATTCCTTTATAGCAAGAATGGTCCAGTGAGGGGTCCATGACTCTTACACCCGTCACAGCTCACCCTCTAGCATTGCGCGCAGGACCCTCGGTTTCTGCAGAAGGAAGGGCAGGTGGCGGTTGTGTAGACCCCACTCTAGCGATGTTCTTTCTTACAAAAGCATTTGTAATTGACCTAGTTTCTGAACTTATTTTCTGTCCCTATTATATTTTGCTTTTAAATTTTAATTTATTTATAATATATATTATTTTGCCATATTTTATAGGTTGTACTTAAATTATTCTTGGAACAAATCTTTAAATGAGTAAAATAATACTGCAAAGGTTAAGTATGTTTTATACATAAAGGTATAATAATTTTTATATCTAAAGGTATTAATAACTTTATATGTCAATGTTCAGTGAAAATAGTTTTTATTTTACCTTATAAACAGGGCACCCAGTAATAATTGAAATGTTTTTAAGGTAAAAAGTTATTTAAAAGTAGCTAGAAATTTCCTGGGACCATCAATTTACCTTTGAACTTTCTGTGTTTTGAGAAAACTGACTAATTGTCCTTTCAGATTCTTAAATATGGAGCAGGCAAAAGCCATTTGCTTGAAGACAAGGATCATGATTTTCCTGAATAGTTACCTAAACTGACTGTTTTTAGTGGAACTGAACCCTAAAGGAGATAGCAAAAGCTTTTCTTTTTCTCAAATACTGACTTGGAATGGAATGTCCCTCAAAATTATTGTTTGTTCTTAAAGAAGATGCATATAACATTTTTCCAAATGTGTACTCACCAATGTTAAAAGACCAGGTGGGATCAGGCCAGGGGGCAGGCAGGCCTGCGATCCCCTTCACCTAGCACTGGCTGGGTTGGCTTCGTGCTGTACAGGTAACATGCAAACTTCAGTCACACCTGGACCTGATTTTATTTTTAAGTGAGTAACAAAGTATGGATACTGTTGACTATTTCAAATGCCTTGTCAGGGCCCTAGAGACACAACTGTTCCTTCTTTGGGGAAGCTTTTTAAACCTGCCTTGTGTGCCAAGTGGAGGCAGGAGAAACAGTGAGCAAAGCCAGCTGTGGCCCCTCCTCTCTCACAGAACTTCGGCTCTTCTGAGGCCATGACAATGGGAATAATAAAAACACCTTAATGTATATAAACTTGAAAAGTGAGACGGGGCCCAAACCGGTTTGGCTCAGTGGTAGAGCATCAGTCTGTGGACTGAAAGGTCCCAGGTTCGATTCCAGCCAAGGGCATGTACATTGGTTGCGGGCACATCCTCGGTAGGGGGTATGCAAGAGGCAGCTGGTCGATGTTTCTCTCTCATCGATATTTCTAGCTCTCTATCTCTCTCCCTTCCTCTCTGTAAGAAAATCAATAAAATATATTTTTTTTAAAAAGTGAGACAAGGGTTTGGAGGGCAGGGGTTTCTGATGAGTAATATCTTGTATAAAGGCCTGGAAGTTTATGAACCAGCATCTCTGAGGAACAGGCTGTTAAGCTGCATTTGGAAGGCTGAGTAGAGATTACTAGGAGAGGGGAAGAGGATGAAGGTACAAATCCCTGTTGTGAATGGGCCTAAGGAACAGAGAAGCCCCAGTGGCTGCCATGCAGAGAACAGGGTGGAGATGGTGGAGAGGCAGTGGGAGGGGCAGGTAAGCACCACCACAGGCAGGGTAGATGAGAGGCATGGGCAATCTCGGAAGATCTTAAGTGGCCTGGTAAATTTTGCATTTTGAAAAAAATGGTTCAGTGTGGAGAATGGGTTGGAGGGGAACCCAGAGTCAATGCAGAGACTAGTTAGAAAGCTATAGCAACGACTAGGCAAGACAGGACCAGAGTAGAGGGGCAGCAATAAACGTAGAGCAAATAACACTTGTGGGTAAAATAGATAAGGGCAAGAGATTGATTGCAGGGGGATGGAAATGAAGGAGAAGAAGGGCTCAGGAATGACATTTATATGGAGAGATAGAAGAGTACATTAGAGAAAAACAAAGTTGGAGGGATTGCAATACCAGCTATCAAGCTATACTACAAAGCCACTGTTCTCAAAACAGCTTGTTACTGGCACAAGAACAGACATATAGACCAATGGAACAAAACAGAGAACCCAGAAATCGACTCAATCCATTATGCTCAATTAATATTTGACAAAGGAGGCAAGTGTATACAATGGATTCAAGACGGTCTCAATAAATGGTGTTGGGAAAATGAAACAGATACATGCAAAAAAAATTAAGCTAGACCACCAACTTGCACCCTACACAAAAATAAACTCAAAATGGTTAAAAAAAAAAAACAAAAAAAAGCTTAAATGTAAGATGGGAAACCATAAAAATCTTAGAAGAATCAATAGGCAGCAAAATATCAGACATATGTTGTAGCAATATATTTACCGAGCTCCTAGAGCAATGAAAACTAAGGAGAAAATAAACAAATGGGATTACATCAAAATAAAAAGCTTCTTCACAGAAATCAACACAATAAGAGAGCCCACTGCATGGGAGAATATATTTGCCAATATTATATCCGATAAGGGTTTAATCTCCCAAATTTCTAGGGAATTCATACAACTTAAGAAAAGGACGATAAACAATCCGATTAAAACATGGGCAAAGGACTTAAATAGACACTTTTCAAAAGACTTACTGAAGGCCAAGAGCCATATGAAAATATGCTCAAAATCATTAATCATCTGAGACATGCAAATCAAAACGACAATGAGGTACCACCTCACACCTGTCAGAATGGCTATCATCAACAAATCAACCAACAAGTGCTGGTGAGGATATGGAGAAAAAAGAACCCTTATGCACTGCTGGTGGGAATGCAGTGTGGTGCAGCCACTGTGAAATTCATGTATGGCATTTCCTTAAAAAATTAAAAATGTAACTTCCTCAAAATTTCCTCAAAAAATTAAAAATGGAACTTCCATTTGACCCAGTAATATCACTTCTAGGACTATATCCCAAGAAAACGAAAACACCAGTCAGAAAGGTTATATGCACCCCTATGTTCATAGCAGCACAATTTACCATAGTTAAGATTTGGAAATAATCTAAGTGCCCATCAGCAGATGAGTGAAGAAAATGGTGGTATATAGCATACACAATGGAATAATACACTGTTGTAAAAAAGAAGGAACTTTTATCATTTGCAACAGCATGGATGGACCTGGAGAGCATTATACTAAAGGAAATAAGCCTGTCAGAGAAAGATAAATATGAATTGATAGCTCATTTGTTAAATATAATGAACAACATAAACTGATAAACAAAAGCAGATCCAGAAACATAGAAGCATTGACAGGCCATCCAACCTGAGGTAAGCAGTTGGGGCGGGGGGGGGGGGGGGGGGGGGGGAGGGAGGAGAGTAAAAGAGCAACCAAAGGACTTGTATGCATGCATATAAGCATATCCCATGGACACAGATAGTTGGGGGGTGAGGGCATGTAATGGGGGGTGGGAGTGGCCAGGGAGAGGTTAATGGAGGAAAAAGGAGACATATGTAATACTTTAACCAGGGGTCGCCAATCTTTTGAACCTCTTGGACTACTAGTGGTCCATGGTCCACCGGTTGGTGACCACTGGAAGTTTAAACAAGAAAGAATTTTATTTTTAAAGAGTGCATTAGAGCCCAACTGGATTGACTCAGGAACC